TATTCTAAGGCAAGGGGGAACCAGGTCGAGTGCTGAGAAAATGTGGAGCGAATGCCAGCTGCAGCTGCCTTTCTTCAGAAAACTCTAGATATATAGTTTCCCCAGCTGCTTATCTTTCCCAATTGGAGATTTTCAGTCACAGGAAAGCATTCTCCCTTGCTAGATGACAAGCACTCCCTTCTGCAGTTATTGATGGGCGACACAGAAAGGTTCCAAAGGCAGACAGGTTATGTCCCTGTGATTCAGGGGAGATTAAAACTACAGAACATGTTCTACTTTTTTGCACTTTATATCAATAGGTTTATCCTTCCTTGCTTATTAGGTATCCAGGTCGATCAGATTTGGTATATGCTCAAAAGCTACTTATAGATGAAAAACCACTGGTTTCAGCACATACTGTGAAGTGATGCCTTACGTTTTTACATATACACATTGCAGAATTTTAATAAATTTATCTGTCATCCTATTTAACCTTTACTTCCCTTTGAATTATAAACACTTTTATGTGTGGGAGTTAATTTTAATTATTCCTCTTACCCATTGTGGTGGTCGGGAGTTTTGCTGAGATTTGTGCTGATCTGTGACTGTATTAATAAAGACTTGACTTGATCTTGCAACATGTCTCAGTGGTTGAGACATGCCATAGTTTGACATAAACAAATGTACTTGAGGCTTGCATCCTTCCTCACACTTGCCTGAAGCTAAGTAGTTGCATCCATATTTTTCTGTTACTTCCCAAACTAATACAACATGGTGAATGCAGGCCCTGGAAGCCATCATGTATTCCTGTTTTTCTGGAGAAACTCATGCCCCAGTTTGGCAGCTTGGAACATATTTGTAAACTGTAGTATGGCAAAAAGGTGAAGTTAACTAAGTAGCTCATAATGAGAGGGAGTGCATGAACTGCTCAGGTTCACTCAAGTAGCACCAAACTGTGATTTTCTCATCTGAACTACACCACTAGGCTTGCCAAGCCCCCGCTGGGGGCGGGTAAATTTCCGCCTGGGAGGCCTGTTACCTGCTGGTGGCGGATCGGGCCCCAGGGGGCACTCCACCCCCTGCCAGAGGGCGTCCCCAGCATGATGATGTCACCCGGAGGTGATATCATCACACTGGCCATGTTGTGTGGGGGGGACACTCTGTGAATCGAGGGAAAACTCTATGGTTTTCCCTCAAGTCACGGTGCCCCACCCCCAACGTGGGCGACGTTATGATGTCACTTTTGGTGACATTGTCGTGGCGCGTGTGCGCTTTGTGCACATGTGGGGAGACTCCCGATGGAGCCCGGAATCCCCCCACTTTCCAGGTAAGTCGACTTGGCAACCCTACACACCACTATTGATTATGATATAAGCATGACTGTATCATACAAGCATGACTGCTGCACATGACTGCCCCATGTGTCGACTGATCATGTATGTGTGTGAGAGAGAGCAGGCATGAGTGTGCTGGTGCCACCTCTGCGTGATAGCCTGGTCACCTGCGTGATAGCCTGGTGACCATGTGGAGGAAGTAGCAGTACGTATGCTCTCTCCCTGTGACCAGGAATGCTGTATTCCAAATATGCAGTCACACCCTGCAGACGACCAGGCTATGAGGTGAGGGCCAGGGCTAGTGTGCTCATATCCGCTTTCTCTCACAATGTGGTGAGTGCATGTGCTGACTGTTCATTTATACCAGGCCAGTACCTCACTGACAGGGTATTTGTTGAGCGAGGAAGCTCTGGGAGTAATGGTAAATTAGTTAATTAATTCATTAGGCATATTTGTGCAACAAGATTGATGTCCTGGTATAGACACTGAAGGGGCAATACTTTGGTCTGGATAATGGAAGCTAATTCATTTAGCCAGCTCATAGACTTATGCTTTTAAACACCCACTTCCCCAGCCTATCCATGGTTAGATAACAATGAAGGATGATCTCCTTTTCCTTCTCCGTGGCCTCTCCTCTACTACTACATGAATTTGGCTTCAGTATTGTCACTAAAGGGCAAGTCAAGCTGTTTCAACAAAGGGTTATCAGTGTCTTGCAAGTGGCTGCTTAGAGGTATGCAAGATAAATGAGGGGGGCTCTAACATTCTTTACGGTAGCATAAAACCTTTTTTTGTACCATTTTTACTCTACTTGAAAACAAACCTGTAAGGTGTGAAATTCCTCCCACAAGGTTTTGATTTAGAAAACCAAACATCATAAAATTCTCTTCACTGCTTTTTATATTGACTGCATAAGACAACGTCTGTGTGCTTTGACAAATTGTTTTGTAAACTGTCTTGAACTGGAACCCCTCCAAAGCTTTTTTAAAAAACACGTTCTTCAGATTTAGAATTGGAAAGGAGAATTTTGATCTCTGAAGGTAAATACCGTGTTTTCCCGAAAATAAGACACTGTCTTATATTTATTTTTTCTCAAGAAGACACACTAGGGCTTATACCACAGATGCATAGAAACTAGGGCTTATTTTTGGGGTAGGTCTTATTTTCGGGGAAACAGGGTAGTGGTGCTTTTAGTAGCTTGCAGCGTTAGCATATAATATGCATTTTCCAAGTATAATTGGTACATGCATACATAAATGACCAAAATGCAAGAGGAAGAATATAAAAAGTGCATGTATCACTGGATTAGATCAAAGAAATTCTTTGGTGACTAGAAGGACACTTCTGCTTGTGCAAGAGGTGTAGGGGGAGTTTGGCTATTTTTCCTCCTTCCCACTTCAAGCCCCCTCCAGTTGCACATCATGTTGTTCCTGAGGGTCCTGAGCCCCTATAAGCCATTGTATAGGGGTAATGAGAGGTTAGATAGGGCTGTTACATGAACAGAATTCAGCTTGCAGGTCTGCCACCTATACAGGTTAGGTATTTGATTACTTGTTCAGTTGGTAAAAAGAATTATGTTAAGATGTTACTTTGGAATTTTGACTGTGTTGGGGTCAATTTTATTTGGGCATTCCAGTGCCTCCTTTGTGCTCCCTGGCCCCCAGCACTTTCATCTACTGCAAGTACAATCCAGGCAACATTGAAGTGCACTACAGGAATCGGTTCAGATGACAAACTGATTAAAGTCATGTCAAGAAAAGACATCTGCTTTGGATTGCTGTTCTCTTGTGCTCCTGTAAGAAATGTGGACTGAGCTAAGGCAGTGATCCAACTAATCCAGAGTTATTCTTCTGCCGAGTATTACTGCTACCAGACACATCATGGGAAAAGAAGCATTATGAGGAAATCTATGGTCACTTGAACTTTGTTTTGCTGTACTCGTCTCTCTCTGTGTTTTGTAGAGTTATGAAAAAGCCTTTAAAGACTTTGCCAATAAACAGTTCCATGACATGTGGTCTATTTCTTTTCAGACGGCTGTTGAAGAGTGAACTTGGATCCTTTATCACAGACTACTTCCAGGTAGTTTCTCTTCCTTTCAGTGAATAGTTAACACTAAATCAACTTTGATTTTTATGTTTTGAATATTATGTTGAATATCATGTCTTGGAAGCATAATTCTGCTCTTCTTGCTCTATAAAAGTAGATTCCAATGAGTAGACTGCCAATGCAGTTCTTTGTTCAAAATCCACTGTCTTGTATGAACCAACCCACCATATGCAGGGTGACTTCTGAAAACAAGTCACTCTGTATATGGTGGTTTGGTCCACACAGGACAATGGATTTTGAACAAATAACAAAGAATGAAGTACCTTACCAAAAATCTTTGAGTAAGCTTAGTAGTCATGGGATAAGAGGACGGGTCCTCTTGTGGATTAAAAACCGCTTAAACGACAGGAAGCAGAGAGGGTGAATAAATTGACAGTTATCTTGATGGGGGAAGTAAGCAGTGAGGGTCCCACAAGGATTGGTGCTGGGGCCAATGCTCCCTCTAAGCTGTGGAGTCTTGTGCACAAAAATTTAACTTTGTGAGCTACTGGCATTAAAATTGTGAGCAAGTGACTTGGCTACTGCATAAATTACTTTGCTCTTGTGCCATACTTCCTGAGTTAAGACAAAAATGTGTGAGCCAGAGGCTAAAAAACTGAGTTATCTCACACTAACTCAGCTTAGAGGGAGCACTGGTTGGGGCTAGTGCTATTTGATTTGTTCTTAAATGATTTGGAACTGAGATGAGCAGTGTAGTGGCCATGTTTGCAGATAACATAAAATTATTCAGGATGATGAAAACCAAGGCTGACTGTCAAAATCTCCAGGAGGATCTCCACAGATTGGGCAACCAAGATGATGGAAGGGATGGAGCACTCTTCCTATGAGGAAAGGGTGAAGTGTCTGGGACATTTCAGTTTAGAACAGAGATGACTGGCAGCGGGGGACGGACAGACATGATAGAGGCTTATAAAATTATCCACAGGGTAGAGTGAATGGACAGAGAGAATATTTTTCTCCCTCTCCCAAAATACTAGAACTTGAGGACATTCAATGAAGCTGATAGGCATTAGATTCAGGACAGACAAAAGGAAATATTTATTTTCCCAGCAAGTTATTAAAATGTGGAATTCACTGCTAGAGGCTGTAGTGATGGCAATTATGGCTTTAAAAGGGGGTTAGAGAGATTCATGGAGGATGGGTCCATCAATGCCATGGTGACTTAAGGGAACCTGCATATAAAGAGGCAGCAAACCTCTGAATCCCAGTGCCAGGAGGCAACATGGGGGAAGACCTCAGCCTCAGTGCCTGTTGCTGGTCCTCTACAATAATTGTTTGGCCACTGTGTGAGACAGAATGCTAGGCTTTTGGACCACTGGTTTGATCCAGCAGTGGTCTTCTTATGTTTTTACGTTATATGAACAATAATATTCATATGGTAATAATGGTTAAGGTAGACAGTTCTATTTAATTCACATCAGTGTGGATTGCAATTCATTGTTCTGTTGTACCCAGTCTTTAAAAAACAACAACACACCCTTACTGGCTGATTGTACAACGTTAGATAAATAAAAAGATCTTTTCTTCTTCTTACTTGTATAGTTCAGGGCCTAGCCCTGGAAATGCAAATTGATCTGGATTGCATTAGTTAATGCTCCAGGCCAATTTCTGGTGATCTCAACAATAGTAGGATTAGCATGAAGAGAAAAATTTAAATTGTGTCAAGATGGAGGTTGCTGTAATAGAGAGCGTTCCTGTGCAAAAGGTATGTCTCCTTTTAGGTGCATTCTGTCCCATGCTTCTATATCTGGGGTGCTGGAGACCTGTGTTTTAATTGCCTGACCTGTAATTTCGCTGTGAAGACATCACAGAGCCTTCTCAGTATGAACTGGAGTTGCAGTTTGGGTGAGGGGTTAGTCTGCTTCTATACAATTATTAGTGTGTAGACAGGTACCCCTACTGCCTCTTTTCTCCCTATAGGAGCAAAGAAATTCTTCTGATACCAGAAATGCTGTAGTGAGTGTGTATGTGTTTGGTAGGAGAGAGATAAACCTCCCTTCTTGTGACACCATAGTCCTGTCCATATCATGGCTGTGTTTTGTGACTTCATCCATGCAACAAACACAAATCAGTATATTAAATATTAAATTGCAAACTAGATAGTTGATCCTCAGCGTAATGCGTAGGTTGACCCTAAGAAGGGTGAGAGAGGAAGAACCTTTTCCGAGGAATATATCTCTAGAAGAGTGCATTCCTTTGGAAAGTTTTCTTCAGATAATAATCAAGAAGTCATGCTATGATGATGACACTTGCCCACTATACAACATTGAAAACGGCTATGAAAATATAAATCAGTGGCATTTATATGTGAAATGCATATTAGATAAACTGTGACATCCCCCCTCATATTACTAGTGTGCATATGTGCAAGTGCATGTTCTGTTTTGTTGACCTGAAATGGTGAATTGAGACTTCATTAAATAAAAGTCATTTCAGGACTTGGCATCATCTCTTTCTGGAATTTGTCTAGTCTGCAGAGTAACAGTAACCTAGAAACTGGAAGACAGAAAATAAAAGAATCAGGTTGTAAAATGATATTCTGGGTTTTTTTTAAAGTTTAATTAGAAGTCTGTTGTGGTTCTCCTTAGTCACATAAACCCAAAAAGATGCAGATAGCTTTTGATCATGAAAATCTACAAGGTAGTATCACAATTGTTGCAGGAGATAATTAGTTTTGCAGCCATTTCTTGTGTGACAAGCATGTAAAAATGAAAGTTAAATTTGTATGTATATTCATTACCAATGAACATGAATCTGGGATGAGTGTGTGTGTGTGTGTGTATTTTATTTTCACACTTCATATGTTTGCTTTAGAAAACTCCAGTGCCAATGTCTCTTGCAAGAATGGGAAACAACACCTCATACCAATATGACTTCACTGGATTTTCTTCTCTCATCGTAAAAAAGAAAAAGAGAGGAAACAAAAGCTGTTAAAGTTCCAAAGCTGACCAAAACTGCCCATATGTTGTGCCAGCAATATAAAAATATCTGGTTGTGATCATTTCCTGTAGATATTTTATTGCATGGCCTTTAAAAAAAAAGTATTTTGTGGTAGAAATTTGAAACTGGATTCCTGGAAGCAGAGATACCGCACCAGGAAGCAGAAGTTGATTCATTGGAGAGGACTAATTTTAATTGATCTGTGAGTTGAGGTCTTTTAAGATGTACTCATGTTCTGGTACGTATTAGGCAACTAATGTCCTGAAATAAAACGTTGAATCATGCTGGGTTGCACAGCAATGATAAAAAAAGTGTTTTGTGGTAGAAATTTGAAACTGGAGTCCTGGAGGCAGAGATACTGCACCAGGAAGCAGAAGTTGATTAATTGGAGAGGACTAATTTTAATTGATCTGTGAGTTGAGGTCTTTTAAGATGTACTCGTGTTCTGGTATGTATTAGGCAACTGTAATGTCCTGAAATAAAACGTTGAATCATGCTGGGTTGCACAGCAATGATGAGCATGAATCGAAAGCAAAGGTGACAAGCAAGCATTGGAGCGCATAAAACCAGATATGTCATTGGAAGGAGAAATCATGAAACTGTAACTGACTTATTTCGACCATGGTATGTGAAAGAACTCACTAGAAAAAGTAATTATGCTTGGATTGGTTAGCAGCAAAGGGAAACTGGGCCGCAAAAGAATACGGTGGCTAGACAAAATAAAAATCGACACCAGCCTGAGCATGGAGTGACTCAAAGAAACAGTACAAGATTGGAAAACGTGGAGAGAGCTGGCACATAGAATTACCAAGAGTCAGACACAACTGAATGGCTAACAACAGCAACAATGACAAAATGTAACTAAATGTCTCTGTTTATTCAGTTTATAAGTTCCTTTATACTTTTCAAAGCATCTGAAAAGGCATGTATTTTTTAGACTTGGGTAATGTGTATTTAGGAGCTGCGGTGGCTCAAGTGGTTAAGACGCTGAACTGCAGGCTGTGGAAGGTCAGTAGTTCAGCGGTTCAAGACCCGGGTGCCGCAAGACAGGGTGAGCTCCTGTCTCTAGTTCCAGCTCAGGCGGGGTGACGTGTGGCGCAGCGGAGCCAGCAGGATGGAGCCGAGGCTGTGGCCAGCGCGTGGCCGAGCACTAGGAGGAGGCTGCCGGTGGGAGCTGCTGCTTTAAAAAAAGACCAGCTCCAAGACGCCAGGAGGGAAGAATGCCGGAATAACATCCACACCCGAAGCCTGCCGGAATAAGAACCGAAACAACAACAAGAGCCATTTAAGATAGTTCAGTGCTGCCTCTTCAGTGTCCTGCTCAAGGAGGCTTACAATTACGCTATTATTGGACATAAACAGCATAAAAACAATCTGCAGAACAGTAGGCTATTTAAAAAGCCAGTAGGATAAAACCCTAATTAATAGCCTGGTAAAAATATGTATTTTGGTCTGGCACCTAAAAGAAACTAAAGTAGGTGCTAAAGTGAGCCTTGGGGCAGGGCATTCCAGAGACAAGGTGCCACCACTGAAGATGCCTTATCTCTAGCCACCACCCACCTCACCTCCAAAGGCAGGACAGGGCTTGAGGGGCAGATGTTAACTGGCAGGCTGGATAGAATGGGAGGAGAGGGTCCTCCAAGTACCCTGGCTCCAAGCCATTTAGGGCCTTAAATAGAAGAACCAGCACTTTGAACCAGCACAGGGGTGATATGATCCATGTAATCAACATTTGATAATAGACTGGGTGCCACATTTTGGACCAATTGAAGTTTCTTGACGACATTGAGCCCGCTACAGTAATTTAACTTGGATGTGAAAAGAGCATGGATCACTGCGGCCAGAACACACTTTTCAAGGAATGATCACAGCTGAAGAACCAGCCAGAGCTGGTAAAAGGTGCCGTGTGCCATGAAGGACACCTGGGCCCAAACTGTATGCCAGAATCCAGTAGCATCTCCCAATTATGAACTTGCTCCTTCAGGGGGAGTGCAATCCTTCCCAGGACAGACTGGCTTTGCAGACCCTGAGCG